AACAATTACAATTATACTTCAAAAATTTTCAAGAAAATACAAATAAATTTCAAATGAATAATTTAAAACAAGCATTTGAAAAAAAAAATCACTTTATTTTTTAATTATTTATTTAAAATTATTTGTATCTTTTGAAAACTTTGGGATTATAGTTGCAATTTATTTTCTATTTTTTATTTTATTTAAATATGAGGATATATTTGTCATTTTACAGCTTTTAATTGAAAAATGGATGAAAATGATGATTTTGAAAATTTCAAAAAAACGAAAGGTAAAGACATTTTCCACAATAATATTGATAGGTAGAGACGTTTTATACTAATTACTCTTTTAATAATTTATTTGAACTCGTTTGTAGTTTTTAAAAAGTTTGGGAGTATAATTACAATTTATTCTTTAATTTTTCTTTTTTTTTGTTTTATTTAAATAAGAAGGTATATTTGTCATTTTATTTTTTTTTATTGAGAAATTGGATGAAAATGACATTTTCTCAATAAAAGGTGAAAATACCAAAAAATAAAAGGTAAGGAAATTCTACAAGATAAAATTGAAAGGTAAGACTGTTTTGTGCTTATGACCCGTAAAAATATATTACTTGTTTTAGTAGTAAGATAAGTGATGTTACATGTTTAACTAAGTTTAAAAGAAATTAAATCTGGGTTTCTATGTACTTTTCCTATGTTACTTTACTTATTTATACTTTAAAATTAAAAAAAATTACTTATTTTGACCATAAATAGATGTTATTAACAAAAAAAAGTAGCTTTCTTTGTATTTGGTACTTGTTTGAGCTTCATTAAAAATAGATTTTGAGAAAAAATATATTTTGAAATAGTTATTTTCTAAAAAATGCATGGCTAACAAATAAGGAAATATTTTGAGTTTAAGTATAAATGGGGATGGGCAAAATCCAAACCAACCCGTTGAAACAATCCAAATCAACTCGAATCGATCGATTGGGGTCCTTTTTTGTGATTTTATAGGCGGACGCTCGCTATGTGTATAAAACAGGACTACACAGAAGCCATACAAACAACACATGAAGCGGGAAGTCGACATTTTTTTTTCCATTTTTATCATCCGTGGATCCCGTGTGGGGCCAACCTCACGTGTCTCCTCTGAGTGGCTCTGTACCAATGGTTTTGCCCAATGAAATAACACAATCCTAATAGGGATGGAAACGGTTCGGTTTCGGTTCGATTCGACCAAAACCATCACTGAACCCTCAAATTTTTTGTCTTACCATAATCGCCGGTTAACTGCGATTTTCTATTTTAATGGTTCAAATTGCCATCCCTAAACCCTAACTAATCTTCCATTTCTCTCTCTCTCCCCGCCTCCTCAATTTCCTTTAAATCATCGACGCTAAGCTAAACTTTTTCAGTTGTCGAAGATGGTCGCCAGTAGTTCATGGTCAGTAACTACTGACAGCCCTTCATTTTTTGTTGTTGTACTTGTCCACCGTTGCAACTTGTGAGTATATGTGGTAAATTGTCAATGTCCACGGTTGCAACTTGCGAGTCTAAGTGGTAAATTGACAATCTTCTTCAAGAAATTGTGTTTCATTTCTTGATCTTCCAAGTTTTGTTCGATTAACCGCGATTTTCGATTTTAATGGTTCAAATTGCCATCCCTAAACCCTAACTAATCTTCCATTTCTCTCTCTCTCCCCGCCTCCTCAATTTCCTTTAAATCATCGACGCTAAGCTAAACTTTTTCAGTTGTCGAAGATGGTCGCCAGTAGTTCATGGTCAGTAACTACTGACAGCCCTTCATTTTTTGTCGTTGTACTTGTCCACCGTTGCAACTTGTGAGTATATATGGTAAATTGTCAATGTCCACGGTTGCAACTTGCGAGTCTAAGTGGTAAATTGACAATCTTCTTCAAGAAATTGTGTTTCATTTCTTGATCTTCCAAGTTTTATTTTTTTTTTTCTTTTGTGATTTTATCAAATGTGAGTGCATGAGTGAATTCAACTTGGGCAATTTTTTTCCCCTTCTCTCATTT